TGCCCACACAGAGCTGGTGTTGGCCCGGCGCGAGCCACGCATGGGCAGCGAGATCCAGTCGCGGAGGGGAAGACAGGAGGAGGATGGGCTAGACCGGGGCCGTTCTTGATTTGGCCGGCTCTCTCCAGATCGAGCCCACGCGGACGCCGACGACCACGCGCGCCATCAGGCATCACACACGCCGAAGGTCACCTCCACCGGCCCAAGCAAGGACGCCGCCCTGCACAACCTGCAGCCGCAGCCGCCGCGTCGCAACAGCCTTACGCGAAGCGCCCCGCCGCCACCGTCCCGGGAGCCTGCGCAGGCTTCGCTAGCTGACCCCTCTGTTGGCGGCGACGCGAGGGGAGGGAAGGAAGGAGCCTGGGGCGCCGGCAACGAGAGGTTTCCCCGTGTCGCCAAGGACGACGCGAGGGACGGGAATCTCCAGGTCACGGTGGTTATGGGGAATCTTCAAAAAAGATACAGATCGATCAATCAATCACATCCAATATAATCTAATCCAATCCAATGTAATGTCAGTAATTTACCAAATGATACTCTAGGGTTGTTACATTACACCAAGGAGGGATAGAATCGAACAGAGTACCCACGAGGGCAATCCCGCGACAAGGTACCGAAGAGAGGATGGATTAATCGAGCAAGGGGAGGGGGAGAAACTTGGTGAGCAGTGCGGACCTTGTGCAGGGAGCCCGGGGCTCCCCCCTCCTCTACCTGCTCCTTCTTCGAACTGTTTTATTGGCGTGACCAGGCCATGCTAATTGGGCTCGAGCCTGTGCAAGGCCCAACCATCGCATCGTCTCCTCTGCTCTGATCAGACACGTCTGTGCATGAACGACAGAGGCCGCTGCTTGCTGTTTGGTGCGGCGCGCCGGCGAACATAGCCCGAAGCCACCGTGGTGGCCGCACAGAGGGAACCCTTGCCGCCGTCTTCATCATCATGAAACGGTGAAAATCTACCCAGCTGTTTTCTTTGTCTGATATGGCATGCATATTCCGAATCATGGGGTCAGCACTCAGCATAGAAAAACTCATTTTTGCCTGCCGGTTATTTTTGTGTTGTTCGACTTTTGAACTCCATGGTTAGGCAATGATGGAAGAGATTTGGATCTTGTTGAATTATTTGGGGCTACACCTCTCCAACAATCCTTGCTGCTGATGGCAGGACGATTGCTACGCGCGAGTGGCACTCTGTTTATCTGCAGTTCTCACATTGGATATTTCTAGGACGTTGTTTGGGTAGCAACTTTTGATGATTTTGGTTAGAGATAACAAGCATGCCTCTAAGCATGGCAAAACCATTATTCTCACTCTCTGGTTCTTGATGCTGGAACTGATGGGCTTTCTTCCATCTTCTGAAGAGATGTTTCTTATCTTCATTTTACGACTGATACTTTATTTGGATATGCGAGCAAAGGGTTGAAGCTGCATGAAGCCAAACCGTTGTATAATTCTCAAGACCTATGTATTGTCTCCGAAGTCTTGAGCTTAGTAAGACATGACACAAAATTGTGAGCTTGCATCTGACAAAATTGTGTTGGTGTTTCGTTGGAGAACATATTTCCTATTACCACCACACCTTTTTTTTCGACAAAGGGTGGATTTTATTAACTCAAAATGAAGCATCAAAGAGATACAAACACATTGAGCACACACCCGGCCTCTGCATAACCAGGATGCACACAGGCAACACCAACACACACAAAAGAGAGAAAAAAACGACAGCAAAGAGCAAAGTCATATAAGACTCAAGCTATGCCTAAGCGAGGAAAAAGAAAAAGAAAAACACTCTGAAACGATCAAAACAACGGTCGATAAACTACATCAACGATCATATCCGCACCAACCATCTCTTGACAGAACAAGTGCAACGAGAAAGTTTCTTCAACAGGAACGCCTTCAGGCAGGAAACGACGCTTAAATGTCGCCGTCACTGGACCCGACCAACAAAGGTCAGACTAGGTTTTCACCCTGAAGAACAAGTCCGAGCACATCCGAGCAATGCCTTCATCAAGGTAACGACGTAAAAACATCGCCGTCGCCAGGTATAACCAATTCAGGTCAGACCTAGGGTTTTCACCCCGGAACTCGAGACCGGGTACTCGAGAAGCACCACCAAATCGAAGTCATCATGTTGTCACCACCACTTTCCACGATCCCAGCAGCTAAAAGTGAGGCACAGTCTTTACATGCCGGCATGACTTGCTGGTGCACAACAATCTCCTCCGCGTCAAGCCGTCATCCATAGAATTTATCTCACCGCTGAATGCAAACTGGCCGGATTGAGAGCCACCGAAACTCTCAATGGAGCCTTCCGGTTACGTCACGCAACCTCGCCAGTGCGAGCTGATGGCAACAACCAGTGGATCTGAAGAAAAAACTCTCATGAAGACCCTTGAATGGCCACTGCAATCTGTGGCTCGAGTGGCCGGACGGTGCCGCCATGGTCAGGACGAAAATTGCCCCCTCGCATCGATCGGACGAACCACCTGCGGCCAAGTGACAAGCATCGGTCAACCGATGTAAGTCCCAAGGCACCACCACCAAACTCCTTCGGCCTTGTGATCTGCCGGCGGCAACAGCGGCGAGCGTCTTGGGTCGCTTGGGAAGATGACCCTTATCACCAACGCTGCCATGCTCAACGTACTGGACAGCCGGAGGAAGCTTCGGTCCGAACCTGCATGATCTTGACCGCAGGCTGCTGGAGGAGAATGGATGGTCATCTCCACCCAGGCCATTGCCAAGGCATCACCATGCTGCCCAGTTCAGAATCCCAGATCGCTCTAGCCATTGACCTATGCATGTCCCTGTGCACAGATCGCCTGCCGCTGCATGTCCATGCGCAGATCGCTCTAGCCTTCGGACGTTGCGTGAAGATCGCTGCTGAGTTGTTGTTCACCTCGCGCGCCGTTCAGCGCCTTGCGTAGAAGCCGTCGCCGTCAGCCACACAGGCTTTGCCCGGCAGCGTCGTCCGGCGGCGGCGAGGGAAGCGAGAGAGGTGGGGAGATCCCGAAGAAACTGGATCGGGAGCCGCCCGTGCCGTCCGTCCGGACGACGCGGGGGCGGTTGCGTCGTCGTCTCCGGTTCTAATGACACGGTTGGACTCCCTCCATTACCACCACACCTAGCAGCTCTCATTTGTTTTGTAATCTCTCTAACAAATTCTCTAAATCCATTTTTATTTGGCTTGATGTTTCAGGCTCGTCATGGGTTACCCGGCACATGGATTCATCGGTACATGGACTCCACATATCAATACTGCAATACCTCGGAATTTACATGGTTCGTTTCAGATATAAGGCGGGAATGTCGACCAAACTTTGAAAAAAAATTAAACATATCTCATACAGAAAATCCGTGACTGCGGTTGCGTTCATCTTGTCGACTAGCCCCAAAACAAGTATGAAATTGTTGGAACCTACGGTATCTTGAATATATATTTCTTTTATTTCTTAAATACGAATGTGTACTTCAGGTTCATTTTTGTTATTCTGGCATAAAAAAATAGTAGAGGATTGATATTCTGAAGGTTTCGCATACTTGTTATGTCAAGGCTCTAATATTTTCATTGCCAGACTATATTATATAAAGGCATTTATAACTACAATATCTTGATTAGAAAGCTGCCTCTCACCCCCTTGTACAATGTATTGTTTCACTACCTGCCTCTGTGGTCTTTACTGTCGACGTATTATGCATCCACCTTTCCCTGTTCTGCAAAGTTGCATCACTAGCGAACAGAAGACGTCCATATCTACTAGGGAATTAGTACGCCATTTCTTGGAACATGACACGTTCTTAGGAGTTCAAACTTCAGAATGATGTTTGCTTAGAAAAACAAGTTTATTCTCTTCAGTATGTATTGATCTTGTGTTGTGAAATACAGTATAAGGAGGTATCTGATCTCATTCAGCATTGAACTATATATACTTGCAGAGTTGCAGCACTCTTCAAAATGCACGCCAAAGGATTCAATAGCTTCGAGATATTCGAACTAATGTCACCAATGTTGAGAGTATGCACCAATATAAAACCAAATAATGAGAAAAGATTCTGAAGATATTTGAACTCGTGTCACCCTTGTCCAGGGCTCTTTTGGATTCTGAATATGAATTAAAATACCAATTGTTGTCGTGCTCTGCATTATCCTCTGAACAATCAGTTGATTCATCCTTCCGTGCATTAGCATTAGGTTGTGATTATTGTACAACTGGTTCTGTTTTAAGGCTGTAACCCAAGGATCAGAGCAGTTATACAAGCGTCTAGTGTAATACACTGCCCTGTGCATTCTGAAGTGTAATATTTCCGATCGTGAGTGCATTTGCCAAGCGGGATCCCACTCGTGCCCACATAGTTTGTGTAAGTTCAGATGGGATCTCTGGTTATTCCCACTAAATGTACTGGGACCAAGTTTTGGCTGAAGGTGGGACGCCCATTATAGTCCTACCTGCAGCCTGACATGGCACCATAGCAGCCAGCTCACTCACCAGTCATGAGCAGACTTGTTAGTTGTTACAATCAACACTACATTGTACAGCTCCAAGTGGTACGTCTTAATCGAAGAAAAAACGGTCCAAGTTGTAGTGTACAGCGATGGGCACTCAAGTCTTCTCTTCTCCCAGCATCGATTTTCCATGTTTTTTCCACAAGCATTTTCTCCATGATGGAGACGAGCAAGCTGCTGCTGGACAGACGTATAAAGTTCACTGATGGGAACTGGCAGCACCACTTGAACATCTATCAGCTTCTGCCGTGGGAAATGCAAAACAGCATCTCCTGTGGATATTTTTGTACTATCACTGATTTGATACACTAAACTAGCATCCAGTATTCCAGTGCCGTGCGGAGACCGTCAAGTGAGTTAGGCAGCTAGCACAGATAAGAAGACAGCGACTGCTTAACAAACAGAGGAATGTGAATGCAGAAAACCCCTATAAATATCCAGGCACTCTTAACTCTATAGCACAGATCAAGATAAACAGCTAAGACACGCAACTAGATCCATGGCTGCAGCACCCTCATCTGTCCGCATTTCCATCATCCTACTTCTCCTCCTACTCTCAGTCATCTCCACGTCTTCTTCTTCTTATTATTATTCAGTTCCGGCTAATGGCAGCGACACGGACCTCGCCGCGCTGCTGGCTTTCAAAGCCCAGCTTGCCGACCCTCTCGGTGTATTGGCAGGCAACTGGACTGCCGGCACATCTTTCTGTCACTGGATCGGTGTCTCGTGCAGCCGCCGGCGGCAGCGCATCACTGCTCTAGCCTTCTCGGACACACCCCTCTTTGGATCTTTGGTTCCTCACCTCGGTAACCTCTCTTTCCTCTCTGTTCTTGATATTACCTATGCAAACCTCACCGGTTCCATCCCTCATGAGCTCGGCAGGCTACGTCGGCTTTGGTATCTTCGTCTTGTAGGAAATAGCCTATCAAATGCCATTCCTACATCCCTAGGGAATCTCAGAGGGCTCGAGTCAATCAATCTAAGTTATAACCAACTCACCGGCCAAATCCCTCCCGAGTTGTTAATTCGTATGCCGAAACTTGAGACGATTTTTCTGGCTGGGAACAAATTAAGTGGCCAAATACCATCCAATCTATTTGATAACACACCTTCATTGAGAGTCATCAACTTTGACACCAATAGGCTCTCGGGCCAAATTTCCCCTGAGTTGTTATTTCGTCTGCGTAAACTTGAGATGTTTTCCCTATCTGAAAATGACTTGAGTGGCCAAATACCACCGCACCTATTCAGTTACACGCCTTCCTTGAGGAAAATCTACTTTAACAACAACATGATCTCTGGCCAGATCCCACCTAAGTTGTTAAGTTGTCTAGGGAAACTTGAGGTAATTGCTATGTATCAAAATGAACTGAGTGGCCAAATACCACCCAATTTGTTCAATAGCACGCCTGCTCTGAGCTACATTTACTTCCACAATAACAAACTCTCGGGCCAGATCCCTCCTGATATGCTACTACCTCTTCATAACCTTAGATATATTACTCTGTCTGAAAATGAGCTGAGTGGTCAAATACCTCCTTATTTGTTCAATAACACACCGTCCTTGGAGTACATTGAATTTGGAAACAACAGCCTATCAGGTCCCATTCCACAAACCATATACAACAAGTCCATGTTGCAATACATTTCATTCGGGAACAACAACCATATTGGAACGATTCCAAACAATCATAGTTTTAGCCTCCCAATGTTGCAAACTCTTAACCTCGGTCCAAACAAATTTACCGGTAGGATTTCATTGGGGATTGCATCATGTCAATATCTCGAAGAACTATTTTTGAATGACAATTCTTTTTTGGATGTTGTTCCCTTATGGTTAGGTAGATTGCAACACCTCAAATATCTTTCGTTGGGTGGAAATAACCTTGTAGGCTTGATCCCAGCTGCTATCGGCAATCTCACTAGTCTTATTGCGCTGGACCTATCTCACTGCAACCTCAAAGGAAACATTCCACTAGAATTAGGGCTAATGCAAAAGCTTTCCTATCTTCATCTTGGATCAAATGAACTTACTGGTACAATTCAACCTTCCCTCGGTAATTTATCCAAGTTGAATTTCCTCTATTTGGATAAGAATAAATTATCCGGCTTAGTACCACCAAAACTTGGCAACATAGCAACATTGGAAAGGTTTATTCTACAAAGGAACTATCTAGAGGGAAATGTGGAGTTCTTATCTGGTTTATCTAATAGCAGAAGCCTCCAACTGATTGATGTATCGAGTAATTCTTTCACGGGTGCCCTCTCTGACTATGTAGGAAACCTCACTTCACAGTTAATCACATTCGTTGTATCTGATAACAAGTTGGTAGGTGGAGTTCCAACAACAATTTCAAACATAAGTAGCATAGAATGGATAGATCTTTCTAATAACCAAATCATCGAACCAATTCCAGAATCTATCACTATGTTACAAAATCTTGTGTTGCTTGATCTCTCTAGCAATAACATTTTGAGTGCTATACCAATAGAAATGGGCAAGCTTGGGAGTCTACAACGGTTGTTTCTCGAAAGAAACAAATTATTTGGAGCTATACCAAGTAGCTTCAGTAATCTCAGTAGTTTAGAGAAAATCGATTTGTCCAATAACCAGTTATGTTCAATGGTACCTGAAAGCCTATTCAGCCTTGATAAGCTTGTCGAACTCAACCTTTCTTTCAATTCTTTTGTCGGTGCACTACCGCTGGATGTTTCTCGACTAATACAAACATATCAAATGGACCTTTCTTCTAACTTCTTCCTAGGAAGCATCCCACAGTCAATTGGACAACTTAAGATGCTAGCCTATTTAAATCTATCACACAACTCATTCGGAGGCCCAATAGAAAACCCACTTCAAAAGCTAACTAACTTAGTATCATTGGACCTATCCTTCAATAACCTCTCTGGTACCATTCCTATGTTCCTTGCAAACTTTACCAACTTGACTACATTGAATCTTTCATTCAATAGACTAGAAGGACAAATACCAGAGGGTGGTGTTTTCTCAAACCTCCTATTGCAATCTTTGACTGGGAATGCTGGGCTATGTGGCGCTCCACGCCTAGGATTTTTGCCATGTGTTGACGAATCTCATTCAACTAACAAACTATCGCTAGAATTTCTACTTCCCATAGCCATGGTTGTTTTTGGCTGTATTGCTACCTGCTTATACCTATGGATCAACAAAAAACACAAGAACAAGAGAGGGGTCAAAATGTATGTTGATCCAACTGATGGAATAGGCCATCAGATCGTCTCGTACCGTGAGATCACTCAGGCCACAAATAATTTCAACGAAGATAACATGTTGGGGTCCGGAAGTTTTGGAAAAGTATTCAAGGGGCAATTGAGTGGTTTGGTAGTCGCGATAAAAGTTCTTGACATGCAACTGGACCAGGCCATGAGAAGCTTTGACGTTGAGTGTAGTGTGCTTCGCATGGCACGACACCGCAATCTAATACGAATACTCAACACGTGTTCCAACCTAGACTTTAGAGCACTTGTATTTCAATACATGCCAAATGGCAGTTTAGAGATGCTATTGCACCGGTCTCAGAGTACAGTGCACTTGGGTTTCCTCGAGAGGCTCAATATCATGCTCGACGTGTCGATGGCAATAGAGTATCTGCATCATCAGCATTACGAAGTAATTTTGCACTGTGACTTGAAGCCGAGCAACGTGTTGTTTGACGCGGACATGACCGCACATGTGTCAGACTTCGGCATTGCAAGGTTGCTTCTAGGTGATGACAACTCCATAATTTCTACAAGCATGCCTGGAACAGTGGGCTACATGGCACCAGGTACTCAACTAGGACCTAAGAAATGACAGACAAGTTCGACATATATATGCATATATATACTAATATATATATATATATATTTTGTTTTTTGTTTCTTGTGTAGAGTACGGATCTCTTGGAAAAGCATCACGGAAGAGCGATGTGTTCAGCTACGGGATCATGCTCCTAGAAGTCTTCACTAGAAGAAGACCCACTGATGCTATGTTTGGAGGTGAATTAACCCTTAGGCAGTGGGTTCACCATGCATTTCCCACAGAGCTTATGGGTGTTGTGGATGACCAGATACTACAAGGCTGCTTTTCTAGCTACGACTTGGCCAATGGATTTCTTGTGCCAGTATTTGAGCTAGGTTTGCTCTGTTGCAGCGACTCGCCTGACGAGAGAACAACGATAAGCAACGTGGTTGTGAGGTTGAAGAAGATCAAAGCAGAGTACACCAAAAAGGCAGCAACGACATCACGTGGTGTGGCACAACAATTGATCTCCCATGCTCCTCCCTCTCGCTCAGTGCTCATCGAGGACAATGAGAGGCCATCAACGACTAGCTAGCTCCATCCAGCATATGTGTACTTTCAATAAGTTTAATTTCAAAAATGGTAGAATAAATCCCATAGTAGTTAGTAAAGTAAACCAAGAGCCCATTACATACAGCAAACCAGGTGCTAGAAGGGAACCTTATGTTACCTTTCAACGGGAGCTGGAAGGGATCCTTTTTTATGTAACCATGTAAAGATAAATGTACGATACAACACAATAAAAGGTCATATGCAACTGTTTACTGCCTAGAACATATCTAAAAAATATGGAGCTCTTTAATGCCCAGGACCTTGATGCAGAAAACAAAGTGATTACAAAACTACAAGAAAAAGCAATAGATAATCAGATGGACTCTTTTGAACAAACTTTCAGAATTGGGTAATTTATGAGAAATCGCCATTTGGATGTTCAAAAGGGAAGCACATGAATGGAAGACCAAAGCAAACCTGCTACATCACCCAGAATTAACATTCAAAACCAGAGATGTGTAGCACACTGAAGGGGACAGTACCAAGCAGTAGGTTTTTTTTTTCTCATTACAGTTTTTTTGGGCACAGACCAAAATGGCCGGTACAATTGATATGGCAATGACAAGAGAAAGAAATCGAGTTACCTGGCTATCACCGACCAAACTCTCCTAACCATGATAATAACTCATCACAGCCTGCAGATCCAGCTTGTGCTCATATGGTGTATTTCTACCGTATATATTCATGCTACTTGTACTAATCACAGCTTGTGCTCATGGAACTTGTACTTGTCTCATCACAAACACTGCATGCTGCCGTCTGTTTGATCCCAGGAAGTTCATGTTCGTACATATTAGGAAGCCCATCATCGACAACAGCTAGCTATTCCATGTTGCTATTTGCTACTCCCTCCGTTCCGAATTACTTGTCTTAGATTTGTCTAGATACGGATGTATCTAGACTCATTTTAGTGCTAGATACATCCGTATCTAGACAAATCCAAGACAAGTAATTCGGAACGGAGGGAGTACCTTCGACATCTTGAGGCTTCAGTTTGTGACCCAACCGTAATTTAGAAACTGGTGTTTCTGGTGATCCCTGGATACAATTGAGATGTTGACCTAAGACTGCTGTCAATCCTACAGTACTGAGATTCTTGCACTATTTTAGAACCAACCTAGCTATTTTCCATCAATATAGACTGTCCAATTAATCCAAGGAAGGACATGTAAAGTAGAGGCTGTTATTTTTATACAGTTCAAACATTATATTGACCATTCTCGAGTGTCATTATCTTGCAAAAGCCGTTGAAACAGATAACTTTCCATCTCAGAAAAGCAACAACCAATTAAGTCACTACCAGAATAAACCCCTATGCCTACGGCCCAGGCTGTAGGCATAGCCCCGATTCCCGTCGGGATAGGCCTATGCCGACGGCCCCCGTAGGCATAGGGCCGTCGGCATAATATACGTCGGCGTATCTCGGGATGCCGTCGGCATAGAAAAGCCGTCGGCATAGATAATTTGCCGACGGTGTCCGTACATCTATGCCGACGGCCGGGGCCGTCGGCAACATTCCACGCTAACGGTGGCCGCCGTCAAGTGCCGCCCATAAAGGAGACGCCATGTGGCAGGGCTATGCCTACGGCCTAGCCGTCGGCATTGATTTGAAACTATGCCTACGGCTAGGCCGTAGGCATAACCCTGCCACGTGGCGGCGTCTGCTAGCTCCGTGGGCACGGCTATGCCTACGGCGTAGCCGTCGGCATAGATTTGAAACTATGCCTACGGCTAGGCCGTAGGCATAGCCATGCCACGTGGCGGCGTCTACTAGCTCCGTGGGCAGGCTATGCCTACAGCTTGGCCGTCGGCATATATCTAAATCTATTCCTACGGCTATGCCGTAGGCATAGGTGCCAGGCTATGCCGACGGCGTAACGGTAGGCATAGTTTAGATATATGCCGACGGCCTAACTGTAGGCATAGGCTCCACGTGTCGTCCTCTGGTACCTCATGGTGACCTTATGCCTACGGCTAAGCCGTAGGCATAGTTTCCGTTTATTTTTTTTTCCTTTTTTCTGTTTGGTTTCAATTAAAATTCACAGCATATATATATGATGAAATAGACATACACAACATATATAAGTATCATCCTCACAACAAACACCATCACAACAATATAAGTATCATGACAAACATAACCATCATCACAAACATAAGCATCTAAAGAAGCACACAAGTCATCTAAAAGATCACAAGTCATCTAAAAGACCACAAGTCATCTAAAGACCACAAGTTTATGATCACCACCACGGTCACCCAAAGGCTTAAGCGCCAGGACATCCACCACCACCGCCAAGTCCGCCGAAGCCTAGGCATGTTGACGACCTTGCGTAGGAAACCCACGCCGTCAGCCTTCCCCTTGCCCATGTTCCACAAACCTGCATTGAAAAGAGAATAAACAATTAGTACATTAAAAATGAAGGAAAAGGCATAATAATAAGGAATAATAAACACATTAATAAAAAGCATAAAAAGGCATATTCCTAAACCATAGAAAAAAGACTTGAAACGTACATCTGCTAGAACCCATATGAATCATCACTGTTGTAACCTCTTTCTTGGTCGGTCTCATCATCACTATCAATCATATCATCTTCGTTGTCTGACGGAGGTGGAGGCTCTTCCTCGTCGTCAGCATCTTCGTTTAGCTTTTCTAGCATAAGTATGTCATTTTCATTGACAATGGTCTCACCATCATTCCATGCATCGTCATCGTTTGGATCCACATCATCATCACCCAATGGTCTAGCGTCATCGTTGCTAACCACATCATCATCATCAGGTTGCTCTTGATAGAACACTCCCTCGTATGTCATGGGGTTAATGTTGTAGTAATCGTCTTCGTTCGGGTTCGGTAGCTTACCATGTGGCGACACCTTGAACACAACTTCCCAACCCTTTAGGTACTCTTTCTGGCATGGGTAAGGCAGATAATATACTTGTGTAGCTTGGGTAGCCGCAATGAAGAGATCGGCTCCGGCGTAGACGGTTGATGGTTTAACTTCGACCAAACCAATGGAAGGCGTATGTTTTACCCCCTCCCGCGGATCGAACCATCGACATTTGAACACAGACAGATTTAGGGTCTCGCGCCCCTGGTGGAATTCAATCTCGTATATATTTTGTACCCTTCCGTAGTAGTCTACTGAATTTTGACCGGGGGTGTACACTCCGGTATTTATAGTTTTGGGATCAGGCTGGCTATTCTGGTGCTCCTCTATATGGAAGCGATACCCATTCACATCATACTTTTTACATGTCATGACGGCAGGGTCAAAACCCATGGAAACCCATGTTGGAAATATGCCCTAGAGGCAATAATAAAAGTGTTATTATTATATTTCTTTGTTCATGATAATAGTCTTTTATTCATGCTATACTGTATTATCCGGAAATCGTAATACACGTGTGAATACATAGACCACAATGTCCCTAGTGAGCCTCTAGTTGACTAGCTCGTTGTGATCAACAGATAGTCATGGTTTCCTGGCTATGGACATTGGATGTCGTTGATAACGGGATCACATCATTAGGAGAATGATGTGATGGACAAGACCCAATCCTAAGACTAGCACAAAAGATCGTGTAGTTCATTCGCTAGAGCTTTGCCAATGTCAAGTATCTCTTCCTTTGACCATGAGAGCGTGTAACTCCTGGATACCGTAGGAGTGCTTTGGGTGTATCAAACGTCACAACGTAACTGGGTGACTATAAAGGTGCACTACAGGTATCTCCGAAAGTATCTATTGTTTTATGCGGATCGAGACTGGGATTTGTCACTCCGTGTAAACGGAAAGGTATCTCTGGGCCCACTCGGTAGGACATCATCATAATGTGCACAATGTGACCAAGGGGTTGATCACGGGATGATGTGTTACGGAACGAGTAAAGAGACTTGCCGGTAACGAGATTGAACAAGGTATCGATATACCGACGATCGAATCTCGGGCAAGTAAAATACCGCTAGACAAAGGGAATTGTATACGGGATCGATTGAGTCCTTGACATCGTGGTTCATCCGATGAGATCATCGTGGAACATGTGGGAGCCAACATGGGTATCCAGATCCCGCTGTTGGTTATTGACCGGAGAACGTCTCGGTCATGTTTGCATGTCTCCCGAACCCGTAGGGTCTACACACTTAAGGTTCGATGACGCTAGGGTTATAAAGGAAGCTTGTATGTGGTTACCGAATGTTGTTCGGAGTCCCGGATAAGATCCCGGACGTCACGAGGAGTTCCGGAATGGTCAGGAGGTAAAGATTTATATATAGGAAGTCCTGTTTCGGCCATCGGGACAAGTTTCGGGGTCATCGGTATTGTACCGGGACCACCGGAAGGTTCCCGGGGGCCCACCGGGTGGGGCCACCTGCCCCGGGGGGCCACATGGGCTGTAGGGGGTGCGCCTTGGCCTACATGGGCTAAGGGCACCAGCTCCAAGAGGCCCATGCGCCTAGGGAACCCTAGAGGGAAGAGTCCTCAAGGGGGAAGGCACCTCCGAGGTGCCTTGGGGAGGATGGACTCCTCCCCCCCCCCCTCTTGGCCGCACCCCTTTCTTGGAGTAAGGGGCAAGGCTGCGCCTCCCCCCTCTCCCTTGCCCCTATATATAGTGGAGGGGAGGGAGGGCATCCATACCTGAGCCCTTGGCGCCTCCCTCCCTCCCGTGACACCTCCTCCTCTCCCGTAGGTGCTTGGCGAAGCCCTGCAGGATTGCCAC